TGGGGTCTCTGGGGGGGATTTTGGGGTCTCAGGGTTTATTTTGGGGTTATTTTGGGTTATTTTGAGGGGGGTGTTTGGGATTTTGGGGTTCCCGGGTTTATTTTGGGGTCTCTGGGGGATTCCCGGGGTTATTTTGGGGTCACTTTGGGTTTATTTTGTTTTATTTTGGGTGATTTTGGGGTTATTTTGGGGTTGATTTTGCAGGTTTTTGGTGTTATTTTTTATTATTTTGGGTGATTTTGAGTGATTTTGGGGTTGTTTTGACGTTTTTTCGGGTTACTTTTTGTTGTTTTGGGTTATTTGGGGTGATTGTGGCTTATTTTGATTTATTTTGGGTTATTTTGGGTGATTTTGGAGGTTTTGGGGGTTATTTTTTTGTTATTTTTGGGTTATTTGGCTTGATTTTGGATTATTTTGATTTATTTTGGGGTATTTCAGGTGATTTTGGGGTTATTTTTTGTTATTTTGAGTGATTTTGGTGTTGTTTTGTGTTATTTTGGATTATTTTGGGGTTATTTTCTGTTATTTTTGGTTATTTTAGGGTTATTCGGGTTATTTTGATTTATTTTGGGTGATTTTGGGTTTATTTTGGGTTATTTTGGGTTTTGGGGGGTTATTTGGGGTTATTTCGGGTTGTTTTGTGTTATTTTGGGTAATTTTGGGTTATTTTGGAGTTTTTTGGGGTTATTTTGGAGTTTTTTGGGGTTATTTTGTATTATTGGGGTTATTTTGGGGTGATTTGGGGGTTATTTTGGAGGTTTTTGGAGTCATTTTGGGTTACTTTTTTGGGTTATTTTGGGTTATTTTCTGTGATTTTGGGTTATTTGGGGGGGTCTCTCACCCCTTTCCCCCCCCCAGGCCGGGCCCAGCCCCGGAGCAGCCCCGGGACCCCCCGGGACCCCCAGCAGGACCTGGTGGGTCTGAGACCCCCCCGTGACCTCTGACCCCGTGACCTCTGACCCTGTGACCCCCTGGTGACCCCTGAGCCCTCCCTGAGCCCTTGACCCCCCAATGACCCCTGAGCCCCCCCCCAAATTTGGGCATTTGGGACGCCCTTGACCCCCTGGTGACCCCTGACCCCCGGTGACCTTTGACCCCCAGTGACCTTTGACCCCCCCGTCCCCCCAGGTGTGGGCGCTGCGGGGGGCCCTGGGGCGGCTGCGGCTGCGGGGGGAGGAGGCGCAGAGAGTGACCGGAGTGTACCTGGGACTGCGGGGGGCGCTGCAGGTGAGGGGACACACCTGAGTAACACACACCTGGGACAGGTGAGACACACCTGAGACACACCTGAGATACACCTGGGACACACCTGGGACACACCTGGGTACAGCTGGGACGGGTCACACACACCTGGGACAGGTGAGACACACCTGGGACACACCTGGGACAGGTAATGACACACCTGAGACACACCTGAGTACAGCTGGGACAGGTAACACACACCTGAGGGGGTCACACATGCACCTGGGGGGGTCGGTGACACACCTGGGGGGGTCGGTGACACACCTGGGCAGGTAAGGTCTCACCTGTCCTCACCTGCAGGAGGAGGCGGGGCTCGCGCGCTCCCTGCTGGGCGGGGCGGAGGCGGAGCTCCTGCGCATGCGCGCGCGGCTGCGGCGGCTGCGGGGCCGCGGGGGGCGGGGCGGGG